TGTTTAAGGACTGCTAATATCTCTGCTCAGGTCTTACGCTGTATGATAGAGAATCTAATAGACTGCTGATGCGCAGTGACCTGGGTTATGAATGTACTTATAAATGAGGATCATATGGTTTATGAGCTGCAGCATAAAATGACATTGCAGTTTGTTAGAGCCTGGAGTCATTAGAGATTAGCTTCACATTTTTTACCTCATTTCTGATAAATTTGGGAAAGATTTACATTAGTTTTTTAAAGCTGCAGAACAATTTTTAGGGCAGTTAAATTATTCTGTATGATATTGTAATGATGGATACATTATGTTATTTGTTTGTCAAAGCAGAGAACTATACCAGCCAAAGGGTGAATGCTAATGTTAACTATGGACTTTACTTAAAAATGTATCAATATAAAAAATTATATATCAATATTGGACTATTAAATGTACCACCCTAAGGCAAGGTATTAATTGGGGAAAATAGGGGTAATGTGATACGAGAGTATATGGGAACTCCCTCTACTTTCTGCTCAGTTTTTCTTTAAAACTAAAACTGCTTTAAAAATAAGCCTATTAATTAAAAAAGAAAGTGCTGATAATGATGACAGAAAAGCTCTTGCGTCTTTGGACATGTTCTCAGTCTCCACATCAAACATAATCAAAGAGGAGAATCCAGTATTGGTGAATTAATCCCTTCTTTTCAACTTGGCCTCTGATATTTATTTTATTTTAGTCTTTTTGTCTAGAGTTCAGGATTGGCTAGCTGCTGTTCCATTAGGATTATCATTATAACTATACATTCACAGACCTGGGGAGAATCTGTCTAACTTCTCCTTGTGAAATAACATCCTTATCTTCTAAGCTTGAGCAGTGGAGGGAGAATCTTCATATGAGGTGGGTGTCTGAACACATCATGATTCCAGTTCTGGACTTCTTGGAACCATTGCGGATTCAGATGATACCTCTCTGTCCTCAAAATTGACCTAACATGGACACAGATTCAGGACTGAATCCAGGCTGTAATGTTGAACAAGACCTTATCAAAAAGCCTCAAGATATTATCCTTTATCTGTTCTGTGTATCTGGCTTACTTGGTTGTTTTTTGGAAGACTGTCTTCTTGGCCAATATCTCTATAGCATAAGACTTCTTTCCATCTCCCTAGAAGTGTTCTTAAACTTGTCTCAATGTCTAAATCTCTCTTCTTGATTTCTGTACCTCATGCTTTGTTCAGATCTGCCTTTTTTTCCAAGATGGGAATGCCTTCAGATGGCCTCTCACAGATTGTGTGGCCTTATTCTTTGTCTTCAAAAGGAGAAACATGTAAGGACTGACATCTACCTAGAAGCTAGGCAGATCTGTTTCTTTCTGTACAGAATGAATGAAAACCTAGATTAGCATCTGTGCTTCCTGAATTGGAGCTATTCTAATTATCCACCCAACTACCAGTGTAGGAACTGAGGGTACTTTTAGGGAAGCTCACTTTTCTAATCTTCAAGGAATTTGTCATTTAGTGAGCCATACTTTTCATCTTAGAATCGTAGTTTTGTAGAGCTAAAGGACATCTCAGGGAGCCATCATTTTCAATCTACTTCACTCATTTTATAATACAGAAACAGTCCTACAGTTTTAGATAGTACATGACTTTGCTTGGGTCATAGCTTTGATAGTATTTAGTAGAGCAGGGAACCAGAATCTAGTTTAATGTGTCCTAATCCAGTGGTCTTTTTTTACTACAAAATGCTACTTTTGAGAAAAAGCAGAATCAGAAAAAACTCACTGGAAGTTGAGTCTGGAATTTGAATTTGCTAACTCATCATTACAAAGTCTTTCTTGCAAAACATTTTTACTGTAGTTATTTTGAATTGCTTTTTTTTTTCTTGATTTATTTACTTGAGAGAGAGTGGGCTGGGGGAGGGGCAGTGGGAAAGAGAATCTCAAGCAGACTCCCCACTGAGTGAAAACCCTGAGTTGAGCTTGATCCCAAGATCCCAAGATTATGACTTGAACCGAAATCAAGAGTCAGACACTCAACTGACTGAGCCGTCCAGGTGCCTCAAGTTTTTTCTTTTTTTTTTTTTTAAAGATTGAAACACATTATTGATTTTTTGCTGAGGATCTTGAGAGTTAGTGGGGAAATATTTTATGCCAATTTTGCCAGAATTCAAATCAACCTTAGAATAAAGTAAGTGTATCATGAACTCTTTAAGATAATGTCAACTTAAAATGTTACATTCATAATTTTAATTCATTCAGCTTTTTAAGCATGTGAGATGTGTTTTTTTCTTTTCCTAATACACTCTGAGGTATTTTTGCAAATAAGTGTGTCAAAGACATAAAACTTTGGATATCAGGAAGTCCCATGATAGTGCTTTTTAAGGTGATTGGATTGCCTATTGATTATTCTGACTCTTCACTGTAGGTGAGGTTTCATTTACAGTTCACTTGAAATTCTGCAAAAGCTGGTTATCTAGTGTTATTATCTGTGTCAGCTACTTCTCTTTATTCTTGCATTTCTTCTGGCCATTTCATTGTTCTTAAAGATGAAAGGGATTGAAGTATATGTTGTGGACTTTTTAAATACATGTAAGATTTAATGGCAAAGAGGTCATATTTCACAATGTAATCTCACGGTGAAACACAAATAATGTAACATCATTTTGTTATTTCAGGTCCTCCTTACAGACAATCTGAAGTTAGTACTGTGCATCTTTTTCAGTAACTTTTTATTTGAATACCAAAATAATATACATATATTGTAAAGTATTTGGAAAGTACAAACAAGTACAGAGAAGAAAGTAAAAATCATCACTTGTGATTCTAGAATTTAGTGATAATCATTGTTAATATTTTGGTGGTTGTTTTAGTCATTAGTATATATTTTTTGTTTACTTTTTAAAGGGATTATAATGCATTTATAAGCTCCTTTTTAATATGCAAATACTATTTTCCTCATTTAAGTGTCCTTCATAGCATTGTTTTTAATGGCTGCATATTGTTTTACTGTGTGGCTATACCATGATTTCTTTAAATAGTTCCTTTTTTGAAAGACATTCAGCTTGTTACTACTTTTTCCCTAAGAAAGCTGTCACTATTTCAAGCTCATGATAGAAAACTTTATGATTACTCCTCATAAGACTTTTAAGAAACTGTTTAGATATTTATAAATGAAACCTAAGGCAAAGAGAAATAAATACTAAGAGTATTACATAATAAACCAGTGACCTGGGACACCTGGGTGGCTCCTTGGTTGAGCACCTACCTTTGGCTCAGATCAAGATCCTTAGGTCCTGGGATCAAGTTCCGCATCAGGTTCCTCGTAGGGAGTCTGCTTCTCCCTCTGTCTGTGTCTCTGCCTCTCTCTCTGCATCTCTCATGAATAAATAAATAAAATCTTAAAAAAAAAAAGTAAACTAGTGACCTTAATGTTAATTCTTAATACAGTGTTTAGTTCACATTTATCCTAATACTTTTTTTTAAAGATTCATGCCATAAGTTTATTTATAAACATGTTGAGTATGTTGAATTCAAGAGTTTGATCCTTTTTTCAGAGACTGCACCTCTTAAAATGTTCCTTTTCACATCTGTTTAGTGGATCAATTAAAACATCCTTATTTCTTAAGCAGTTGGTGTCTTACTATAAAAAAAGGTGCAGCAAATCCATATCCAAAATACAAAGTCATCATAAGTAGTAGCCTCCACTTGTTTTCCACTGAAAATGGCAAATTCTTCCCGGGGCCCTCCTCATAGTGGCTCCTACGGACCACAGAGGTCGTGAACCTCCGGATGCTCTGTCCCAACACAGCGCCGCTGAAGGTCCTGCGAGAGGCGCGGACCCCGAGACGGCGGGAACGGCAGCACCACGCCTGCTCTCCTCCGCGGCCTTGCTCCTCGGCGCGCTGGGGCCGAAGGGCTATCCTAATACTTTAAATGGCATTGTATTTAGGTTGATTTACAGCTTGAATTACAAATGATTTCATTTTAACACAAGCCAATATGAAAGCTTTTTTTAAAAAAACTATTCTTGAGGTTGACATTTAACTTTCACTTCACGTGTCTGGCTTTTAGTCTGTATTTTTCATGACCTTAAAATTTTAAAAATATTTTTTTATTTTTTATTTTTTAATATTTTTATTGTTAATTTCATGAGCAGTAATTATTTGCTTTCCTTATAAAAGTTTAAATGGGTAGTGTACAGTATACTGATTGTGTAAGTTGGGTATTTTATTGGTAATATGTATTTGCCTCAGACTAATCTCACTAGATTTTCTTTAAAAATGTGTAGTTCCGGCATATATCTATAATGTAAGTCACTTAGAATTGATTGTTTAGCATATTATGTGGTACTTTATACTACAGAATCATATATGTTAGAAAATGTTCTCTTCAAGCTTCATTTCATTTACCAATGCCATGTTAAATTTTGAATTTTTAGTATATGCTTGCATCAGAATAAGATTATTCCATAAGATTTTTTTCTTATATGAGTATTGGAAATACTGGTCTTTCTGACCATCAGCTATCTTAGCTATAGCAAATGAAACTAATTTTTGTCAGAACTGCCAAATCAGTTCACATGACCACCTTTCTTCCCTCTAACCCTATGACCCCACTACCCCCAATCAAGTGAAAATTACTATTACTTTTCTGTGGTACTTTGTGTATAAGGGTATTCACCAGATGACCTTTTATTATATTTAGGGGAACAAGAGAATGTTTCTTCTGTAAACTACAGGTTACCTAAGGAATGTAATTTTTATTCATGTTTGTATCTACCTGCTTATATTGTGCTAGGAGTTGGGCCAAGTTTTCGGAGTCAGATGTTTTTGTGTCCAGTAAGTGTTCATTGAGTTAAATTGAACAAAAATGTAGACTTGACTTGGTTGCTAGCAGAACTCTGTATTTCCTAAACAGGTCTGTTAAAAATCTCAAATTTTCAGGAGCAGGTTTGTTTTTATTTAAAATTGAGCAGATATCGTAGTGTCTACGCTTTTCAACTAAATAAACATTTCTCTTTTAGGATTTGTTCACACAGATATGACGAAAGACTTGAAGGAAGAACATTTAAAGAAAAATATCCCTCTTGGGAGGTTTGGAGAACCTATTGATGTGGCACATGCGGTTGTGTTTCTTTTAGAGTCACCATATATTACAGGGCACGTTCTAGTAGTGGATGGGGGATTACAACTCGTGATGTAATTTACAGATTAGTTAGTTATAATATTGATTACAATCAAGGGCACACTTTGGCTATTGATTTGACAGTCATAATTATTAATTTGCTAATTAAACCTGTTGATGCTACAAACATTGATTTCCATCTTATAAAGATGAGTATATTTGAAAAGAGCAATATGTGACCAGTTGTGTTTTCTAAATGGTATGTACCTTATAGACTGTAGAGATTTTAGTATATAGACATTTGCAAGTGATAGAAACAGACACTATTTTAATTTAAATATTTTATCTCAAAAGTCACACACATCATATGATCTAATTGTCATGATTGACTTCATTGTATCGGGCAGGATGCTGTCGAAGTTAATCTTCAGCCCGTTGGCAAAATAGAGGAGTATTTGTAGGGCATTGGTCGGTTGTCAGTACTTAAGCTGTCCTGCCAGTTAAACATTGTATTTCTTTTCCATATGCCTTAGAAGATCAACTTTTATACAGGTTGGAAAAAACATCAGTTTACCTGGCATGAATTTAGAATCTAGTTTCTTTGAGTGCATTAGTCCTGATTAAGCAGCTGGGCAATATAATTTATAAATATAGGTGCAGTATAGTTGATGCATTCTATAGAAATTCTCAAAGATGATGAGGATTAACCTTAAGGTTTTAGCATCTGGTATAGGAATGAGCTGCATAGATCTGATCAACTTAGGAAATAGAAGCAGGTTTTTTTTTTTTTTTTTTTGTGTGTGTGTGTGTGTGTGTGTTTTTAACCCGCAAAACACTCAGTATAGCAAACTACTTAAAAATTAAGAGTATTTTGTGTGAATGAATATAATATGATTTTTACCCCGAAACGTTAGAAATATAAATGATGAATAAATATGCAGTAACAATGAATAAAATGTCTCCTGTACTTTGTGAGCTTTCCGTTCATAAATTCTAAACCAGTGAATTGTTTTAGAACTGGCTTGTGTGTGTGTATATATATACACACACACAAGCCAGTTCTTGAGATTATATATATATATATATATATATATATAAAATCTCCTTGCTCTGCTGTGACCCACTGTGCCCCACCCCACAGGGAGTCGCAGCTTCACCCGCTGCTTGTGCTCACCTGGCTCGCTCACAGGCAGTTTCTTAATGACCGAAGCATTCCCTGCCCTTGGAATTTCTGCCTAATAATATATATTATTGGTATCCATAATCACTATATATATATGGATTATATATATAATATATATATGATTATGGATACTAATTCAATGTAATTTATAATTTTCTATGTCAGTATAAAAATACATCACAGCCTTCTCAAATATCTGAAGCAATATATCATATATTGCCCTATCATCTAGGGAAAGGGTTAAATCTCTTCACCTCTTGCACTTCTGGATGCAAATCAGGTTTTCATTTCTGTAATAGAAAACTATTCATGTATTTTTACATCATTTGTTTCTCCTGACCAGTATTTAAAACCAAAAGGATATTCTGAATACTGGCCAACAGTGTTTTTAGAACGAGCATCCCAAGCAGCGTGCTAAAACATTACATTGCATATGGAAATTAAAAAAAAATCAGATGTTATAAAAAAAGGAGATTTATAAGGAGCAGAACACTAATTTTAAAGTATTTGTGGGATGCCTGGGTGGCTTAATGGTTGAGCGTCTGCCTTCAGTTCAGGGTGTGATTCTGGAGTCCTGGGATTGAGTCCCGCATTGGGCTCCCTGCATGGAACCTGCTTCTCCCTCTATGTTTCTGCCTCTTTCTTTCTGTGTCTCTCATGAATAAATAAATAAAATCTTTGAAAAAAAAAAAGTATTTGCTTGAAAATAGAGGTAAAGACACAAACTGAACGTAGACTATCAGGCAGCATTTATTTTGCATTGAACACTTCTCTGGGGAATAATGTGATATTTTAAATGTCACTGAATTCAGGTTGATTTTTATTATCATTTCAAAACGTGTTATATATTTACTGTATTTTAAAAGTAATCTTTTTTACAGTTTTATTGGAGCTGAACATTATGTACATAGATTCAATTTTATATGTCAAGTCAGTGCAAAGGTGTGAATAGGATATACTAAATAAATGCCATGTGATAAAGGTAATAAAAATAAAAAGTAATAAAGTCAGATCTAAATTCTACAGCAAGCTTCCTGATGCCTTAAAAATTATTTTAAATTTATCTTCAATCAGTTGGCAGTTGTGTATCTTCAGCTATTCAAGGACTTCATTGATTTCTTAACTTGACATACAATTGACCTTTGAACAGTATGGATTTGAGCTTTGTGGGTCCACTTAGATGTGGATATTTTATAGTACAGTACTGTAAATGTATTTTATAATTTTCATGATGTTTTCTCTAGCTTATTGTGAGAATACAGAATGTAATACGTACAACTTGCCAAAAATGTGTTCACTGACTGTGTATGTTATTGATAAGGCTTCTGGTCAACAATAGGCTATTCATGGTAAGTTCTTGGGCATCAAAGTTATCTGTGGATTTTAGACTGTGCAGGTGATCAGTGCCCCTAACTCCCTGCATTGTTTGAGGGTAAACTGTGTTCAAATTATTTAATAATTAAGTTTCTTTTGTATTCGTTTTATCTTTCTACTACATTTCTACAGTTCCTGAGGGTAGAGACTGTACTGTGTTTCCATTCATTTAGGTAATTTAAGTAACTCAAATATTCATTGAAAACTGGTAATTAATCTGGTAATTACTGGTAATTAAACTGGTAATTAACTTCTTTTGATACCCCTACATTGCCTCCTCAGTTCTGAGTACATTGGATATACTCCAACCACTATAATTTTTTGATTCAAGATCATCAGTCCATTACTTTGTGCTATAATTAATGATAATCATTGAGATGTATCTTTTCTGATATATCTGTCCTGGAATATTATTTTTTGATCAAATCCCTGTGATTTACCTTTTTTGTAGTTTATCTTTTTTGGTCATTTATCTCTGATTTTGATGCTTACTTTCAATTTAAAACTGAATTTGCAATCCTAAGCCAATCAACTGTTTTCTCTTAGGCAGTATACCTTAGTTTGAGTGATTACCAGAAATTTAACTTAGAATTCTTGGGCTAATAATCAAAATGGGAGTAGTATTACTAAAACTAATTTAATACTGCTTGTTGACTATACTTCAATTAAAAAAATTTTTTTGAGGGGATCCCTGGGTGGCTCATTGGTTTATTAGCACCTGCCTTCGGCCCAGGGCCTGATCCTGGAGTCCCGGGATCAAGTCCCACATTGGTCTCCCTGCATGGAGGCTGCTTCTCCCTCTGCCTGTATCTCTGCCTCTGTCTCTCTCTCTCTTTCTCTCTGTGTCTCTCATGCATAAATAAATAAAGTCTTAAAAAAATATTTTTTTTTTGGAAAAAAAAGTTCTGCAGGTAATACTACTCCCATTACTTTATGTGTTATGCTATGCTCACTGCAAGTGTAGTTACCATCTGTTACCATACCTCATTATTAGAATACCATTGACTATATTCTGTATGCCTTTTATTCCTGTGATTTATTCATTTGGTAACTGGAAGACTATCTCCCATTCCCCTTCATATTTTGCGTACCTCCTTTCATCAGTTTGACCTCTGTATTTAGGGGTATGTTTTTGCTTTTTGTGTATTTGACTCCACATATAAGTGAAATCCTATGTTATTTGTGTTTCTCTGATTTATTTCACTTAGCATAATACCCCCTAGGTCCATCCATGGTGTCACCAATGACAAGATCTCATTCTCTTTTATGGCTGAGTAATATTCCATTGTATATTTATATACTCCACATCTTATTTATCCGTTCCTCTATTGATGGGCACTTGGATTGCTTCCATATTTTGGCTATTGCAGATAATGCTGCAATAAACGTAGGCATGCATATATCTTTTTCACTTAATTTTTCATTTTCTCTGGGTAAATACCCAGTAGTAGAATTACTGGGTAATATGGTGTTTCAATTTTTAGTTTTTTGAGGAACTGCCATACTGTTTCCCACAGTGGCTGCAGCAATTTACATTCCCACCAACAGTGTACAGGGTTCCTTTTTCTCTGCATCCTTGTCAACTGTTGCTTTTTCTTGTCATTTTGATTTTAGCCATTCTCATGGATGTAAGGTGCTATCTCATTGTGGCTTTGATTTGCATTTTTCTGATGATTAGAGATGTTGAACATCTTTTCATATATCTGTTGGTCATCTCTATGTCTTTGGAAAAATGTTGATTCAGGTCCTCTGCCCATTTTTTGATGGGATTATTTGAGTTTTTTTGGTGTTGAGTTGTATAAGTTCTTTATATATATTGAATATGAATCCCTTATTGGATATATCATTTGCAGATATCTTCTCCCACTTAGTAGGTTGCCTTTGGTTTTGTTGATTTTTTTTTTTCCTGTGCAAAAGCTTTTTAGTTTGATGTAGTCCTAGTAGTTTATTTTTGTTTTTGTTTTCCTTGCCTGAGGAGACTTATCTAGAAGAATATTGCTAAGACTGCTGTTTAAGATATTACTACCTATGTTTTCTTTTAGAAATTTTACAGTTTCAATTAAAAAATTTTTTGAGGGGATCCCTGGGTGGTTCAGTTTCAGGTCTCCCATTTAGGCTTTTAATTCATTTTGAATTTATGTATGATGTAAGAAAGTAGTTGAGCCCCACATTGAGTTCCGTGCTCAGCTGGGAATCTGCTTGAGGATTCTCCCCCTTTGTTGCTCTCCACTTCCCACTCACATGCTCTCTTTCTCTTTCTCTCAAATAATAAATCTTTAAGTACAATTGCTGGATCTTAGGGTAGTTCCTTTTTTAACTTTTTGAGGAACCTCCATACGGTTTCCCACAGTGGCTGTCCCAGTTTGCACTTCCACCAAAAGTGCAACAGGGTTCCTTTTTCTCCACATCCTCACCAACACTTGTTTCTTGTGGTGTTGATTTTAGCTATTCTGACAGGTGTGAGGTGTTATCTCATTGTAGCTTGATTTGCATTTCCCTGATCATAAGTGATGAACATCCTTTCATGTGCCTGTTGGCCATATATATATATCTTCTTTGGAGAAATATCTGTTCATGTCTTCTGCCCATTTTAAAAATTGGATTATTGATTTTTTTTGGTGTTGAATTGTAAAAGTTCTTGATATAGTTCACATATTAACACTTTATTGGC